ATAATGATAGCTTCTAATCTAAACTATGATAATGATAGTCATATCATAATCATAGTTTAGATATATGGGATGTTTACAGGATACAGGATATACATATTTTATACATATATGTTTTACATTCGGCTTGAATGCCCCCAATGAAATCTTTAAAAGTTACTTTTTGGTCAAGTACTAATTTAAGATATTTCACTTGACGTGACCAAGAAATTGGAACTCCGTTCATAGTGACCATCTAGAAGCAGATAGCACACACGGAATTTATTTCAAGACCAACAATTGAAAAGGCCTCAACTCCATTTTGTAAACAATCCTTGCAAGGCCATTTTATCGCGAACCGAAGCCAACCAACGCAAACCAACAAAATGAACAGGCAGGAGAAATTCTCCTCTACCTGATTGTGTTTTAGGTTTGCGAACGTAGGTTTAGGTTCACGAGAAAATGGTCTTACAAGGTTTGTTTACAAAATGGAGTTGAGCCCTTTTCAATTGTTGGTCTTGATTTTATAGCTTGTTCTTCTTATCATGAAAATTTGTGCCATTGAAATCAAAGCAAAATAGGCGTAGCAAAATAGCCTGTTTTGCTTTGAGCGTGTAGTGATTGTTTGAGATTGTCTAGTGTGCAGTGAGAAAATGTACTTTTCTGTTCTGTATTTTATTATGCCACTGCATATTTTGACAGAAAACTTGGTAAATGGTGTCTTTCAATATTAATTTGTGTATATTCAATGAATGAAAGCAAGACCATGCTGGAGGTGGCTGGGTTCGATTCCCGGTACGGGTTACTAATTTTTCTGGTTGGAAAATTTGAACTTCTGTAACGTGCCAGTGCGGTGTTACTCCCAGCACTAATGAGACCCCCGTCTCCAAGCCTCAGGGTCGGCACACGCTCGTGACAATTCCGCGAACCAAGAAAACACTTAAAGTTCGCTCAAGACAAACTCCCACTTTATTCGCTTTTGTTAATTTTCACTTCCTTCACGGCCGGTCTAGACTCTGACGTCTCCCACTTCCTTAGTTGACTTCTCCTACCTTGTGCTAGCGCTACTCTTCGCATTTTCTTTGGGGCCCCTTCACCTGCCACAGCCGTCGTCGTCGTTCCTCTCCTTCCTCTGGTACCTCGTCACCTTCTTGGGTCAGGGGTGGACGCCTCTAACTGTCCCGTACGCCTCTCGAGTATGGTGACGGACTCGAGGCTTCAACGAACTACAAGGGTAAGTTGGCTTGCCTGCATTGGCGGCGCACACTGTAGTTGTGGGATCAGGTTAACGATCTACGATTCGGCGATCGACTCCGGAAAAATACGTTAAATAAGTAAACGTTGCGGTAAAACCGCGAGGTCCTGTGGGTGCGATGGAGAATTTGAAATGGCGGTTATCGATTGAAAGGTTCTCACTAGACAACGGTTTGTACGTGGCAACTTCCTCTGCAACTCCTTTAAACTTTAAATTTAGCTCACTTTAGTTTTCACAATCAAACTATAGATTTTTAGCTCTGACTTTCGCTGTGTCCGTTGTCTTTAATGATCACCAGGCTTATGACTGTGCCTCTTGGTGAACGATGACCCCGAACCGTGACCGTTGAACCGTCGTACGTGCCACGAATTCTCCACGCAATGGCCCCCATTACGCCACCCCTATGGACGTCCATACAATTTATAGGGAAGTGTCTCCTACTGGCTGCGTTCGTGGGGATTCTGGAACGTTTTACCTTTAAACATTTTCTTGGAATTTAATAACCTAATATACGAAAACACGCGATAAATCTCACCAATCTTGGACGCAACACTTACACTTGTTATACTTCCTTGGGCATAGAGTATGATTGTACTTGCCACACAATTATACTAATGCAAAAATGGTGCAGGCATCTAGTAGACCACTAAGTTGAGAGCACGCAATAAGCTTGAAATGCGAAGAAGAAGAAGAAGAAGAAGAAGAAGAAGAAGGAAGGAAGAAATCTTCCATTTTTGTAAATAAGAAGAGAAAATATCTTAACTTTTCTACAGTCTGTTGCAAATAACACGAACACTTCTTCTTTTAGCGAAAATGCCTGTGTCATCGGCAACCCTGAGCTAACTCAGGAAGGTCCGAAATGAAAATGTTATACAATATAGGCCCAAGAATGCTACCTTGAGGAACTCCTGCTCGAACAGTCGTTCAGGTTTCTGTCAGTTGTCAATTTCGTAATATAGAGTGCAAAATTAAACTTTTTCAATTTAGCAATCAAACCTTCATGCAAAACATTGTCGAATGCTTTTTCTATGTCTAGAATAGCAATCCAGTGGAGCAGCCTTCAGATTAAATTGGTACCTCTTAAGAGTTGACGATTAGTTGAATGTCCATTGCGAAATCTAAACTGCTCATCTGCAAAAATTGAGTTCGTATTGATGTAATCATCATTCTATTCAAAAGATTTTTTTTTCAAAAAGCTAACTTATTAGACGGTAGCTAGAAGCTTCAGCTGGATTTTTATCCAGCTTCAAAATTGAAACAACTTTTGCATTTTTCCATTTATCAGGAAAGTATGCCAAATGAAAACATCTGCCAAACAATTTTACCAAGAAATACAAGGTACTCTCTGGAAGTTTTTGATGGGTGTTCCGTCCGTGGGAACGAACTAGGCGGAATGTAACAATTAGATGGGAGAAGGCCAAAGCTAGAGGGTAAGAATCCCTCGCTGGGTGCTTTGCCTTCTGTTGACACTCCGTCTTCTTGAAGCCGAGACACGTTACGACTTTTGCTAGAATTTTTTTAATACTTCGAAATTCTTGGGACTGCGATACTTTGTACATTATTTTCCAAAGTTTAGTTCCTCGAGCAGAGAATCGCTTTTTAATTTGGTTTTGCAAATCCCGCCAGATAATTTTCATGGGAGGTTCGCGGGTTCTTTGATAATGCCGCCTACAGACATTTTTCAGACGGATCAAGAGCTGAAGATCGTCATCTAATATAATTTAATCAAATTTAACCTCGCATTTTAGCACTGAGGCAGCTCTTGCTACAACTTTAAAAGTAGTCAGAGATTCAAGAGCATAAATGGTTTGCAAAGAAATATTTGGATCGAAGTTATATTCCATAAATGTTCGATATTGCTCCCAATCAATCAGCTCTATGATAATTGAAGGTAGAGCTTTTGGGATTAAAAATTATTTCTTAGGATATTTCAAAAGTTACTGGATGGTGATCAGAACCAAAGTCAGCATGGGTAATCAATTGGCTTCAAATATGACATGAATCAGTTAACACCAAATCAATAGTTGAGGGATTTCTTGCTGAAGAAAAGCATGTTGCGTACGGATATTGAATAGTATAATAATCTGCAGAATAATCATCAAACAGAATATTACCATTGGAATTACTTTAAGCCCTTGTGCAAATTCTTTTGCTGGACTACGCATTGGAATGGCGAATAGGTATCTTTAGACGTAAGTTGTCCGCATTTTGTTTCAACATACATTCCCAAAGTTTCCAAAACTTTGGTTTCAAATGATGAAATAATTTGATATTTGGTACGTCTATTAACAATGGTGGCAACGGCACCACCAGCAGACGGTCTCCGTCCCTTTTAACATTATGGCCAGGTTTAAGAAACGTTTCAGTTATAACGGCGATATGCACATTGTGAACTCTCAAAAAGTTAAATAGCTCGTCTTTATTATATTTAAGAGATCAAGAATTTCAATTCAAAATATTTAATGATTTAAAATCTATTACTGAATTTAAAAGCCATGGAGATATTGGTTGCAATATTGTTGAATTGCAACAAACAAGATGTTAGTTTTAAGCATATCAGGAATCATGTCGATTAATACTTTCTATAAGTCAAAATCATCAAAATTTCTGTTAGAATTATGTTGGTTTGAATATTGATTTCGATTTTTATCAGCTGGAATAGCAACATAGGTAGCCTAACATTGTTAGGATGAAGATTTTGAAGTGGGGTAGCTGTTTGGAGCATAAAGATAGCTTTTTCTAAGACCTTAAGGTTGTTTAGTTTACTATGCTTGAAGTGAACTAAATAAACATAATTAGAAATCCCGTTGTACGGATCGCTATGACGTTATTTCATTTTCATTTTCATTACTTGGACAGGCTCAACTACACGTAATTTTGCCTATTCATCTTTGATCTGATCCAGGGATTCACCACTAGGCAGACCTTTCAAGACAACCTTGAACAGACGTTCAGTGTTGGTGTCGTTAGTATGTAAAACAATTAGTAAGATACTTGAGAAGAAGTTTGCATCCGTCTAAGGTTTAAGCCAATACACGACAATCACCCCGACGGCCAATATGCAGTGAAAACTTAAATTTAACGAAGTTCAAAAATTCCGTGCGAAGAGCATGGAAATCGGAAATGGTTATCACTATAGGGAGGACCTCTACTTGGCATCTTGGCAGCCGGGAATGTTTAATGAACTTTACCTGGATGATGGATCGTTATCATCCGTGACCATATCAAATTGATTGCTCAAATAAATTTCATCAAAACGGGGATGAAAAGATTGCCCTTTTCTTTTGCGTTTAGGTGCCATGGCGGCACAAGAAAGTTTCTCCAAATCGACTTCCAAGCAGATTACTGTAAGAATCCGAAGGATCGAAGAGGAATTTTCGAAATCGATATCCAAGCAGGATTAACTCGGGTAGGGTCCAAACAAGGATCGAAGGGGAATAGAATCGAACAAGGTAGAAAATTTACAGGTATTATTTAGCACTGAAAAGGGCTGTTTAAATTTGGTGTAGCTTTAGGTAGCAGTAACACTTCCTTTAGCAAAAAGCAAATAGATCCGCACGGGAAGAGATCACGATGCGGAATGGTGGTGTAGGTTTATTTTAGTAACCAAGAGAGGACCGAATTGATGTAAAAAATTGGTTTATTTGAATCAATAATGAACTTAAAGTGCATATGCAATTTCACTCACTCTTGGAAAACATTTTTATATGGCTTATAATTTCTGAGTTAATTCATTTCTAACGGGTCATTTAACTCTCATCCCACCCAGACTGAACTCCTCCGTCCGGCAGTCCCGAGCAATGCAGGCGTCGGCCGTCGGCATCAGCCAAGCCCACCAGTACATCCCGACGTCCAGTTTCTACATCAACAAACGCATGGGAGAGGCCGTCGAAATGGGAACCCCCACGGCAAAGGTTATAGGGCCATCGGGATATGCCGAGAACCAGCTGACACCTCCCTCCGCGCAAAGTTCATTCACACCGATGCGACAATCTTTCGGCGGTGCAAGCCCCACCGAACTGCTGTCTTCGCCTCGTGAGGTGTCCGAAACGGACCTGTATCTGCTGGGTGCGATAGAGAAGCTGGTCTACCGAGTGGACTACATGGAAAATCGATTAAGGCGGGCGGAGCAAATCATTTACTACCTGATGGCGGGGAACAATCAGAAAATTGGTGAGGTAATGCGTTAGATGGCTGGGGTGTGGTTTTAACGAATTCCTTATTTTTTTCAGACTCTTGTCCGGATAACTTTACCCGTGTGCATGACATCTGCTACCACTTTGGCGTCGATCGAGGTTTGAACTGGAAGTCAGCCAGTACGTTGTGCAAATCCTACGGGGGACATCTAGCGGAATTTGAAACTAGCATCGAGTTTCAGGATGTAGTAGCGTACATTTTGAACCATCAATTGAATCGGGGTAAGGAATTCTGGTTGGGGGGACTTAATCCAGGACTGTTGTGGATTTGGACTCAATCCGCCAAACCGGTGAACCCCAACACGAACCTAACGTCCATGTCATCGGGTGCTAAGGCCGGGACGTCAACAACTACGGTTCAACCGGATACGAAGAGGGAGGGTAATAAGATTGTGAACAACAAACCGCAGAAGCAAAGCGAACCAACCCTGGAGATTACTGGTACTGGCCGTTGTCTTAAGTTGTCCTACAACGGTGCGTTGTATACATACGGATACTCCGGACAGGATTGTTCAAACCGGTACAACTACATTTGCGAGCTTAAGAACAAGGCTCTGGATAACGAAATAAGACGCATATCGAAGGAGTTGCAGTTTGATTAGAAGCTGTATCTTCCAGAACTTAGATGTGTAAGAATAATTTATTGAATGTTAATTTATTAGCTCCGCAGACAGAGTATTAAAGGAATCGATCTATTTTAAAATCATTTTCGAAATAAATACTAGAGAACAGCCGAGTCCGACGATAGATAATCCCACGGTGGAGAGATACAGGATGCGATCCGTAGGTCCACCCTTCAACCAAACCGGAAGGCCGTCATTGAGCTGGAACTTGGCTTGCGTGTTTTTGAGCAACTGATAACCTATCGGGATTTCCCCATCATCGCTGACTGCCGCCGCCGCACCGCATTTGGTTTCTTCTTCAGGTTTCGGGGGACATTTTTTCGTCGGGAAATTCCGGGTCTGCTGGATTGTTCTTGGTTCCGGGATGAGTTTCCGGAAGTTGACGCCTTTCAGAAGGAGCGACATTTTTGCAATCGTTTTTTTTAGTGTCGTTTGTTTGGAAGTGTGGCTCAAGGATGACTCGATTTGGGTGACAAAAAGAAACGCTGCGCTCTTTGCCTAGTGGGTTATTGGCAATCCTCTGCCAAGAAAAAGGGTTGCTGAAGTCGCAACTATTGGTGGTGTCAGCACTGTAGCTTGCAATTTTTATTTGTAAGAAGCGATAAGAGGTGGTAAAGTTTGTATATGACATTTAAAATTTGTCAATTTTGCTTTCAGAAGTCCACAACTAGTGATTTTATCATCGCTGATTCCTCGCTCATCGCGATTGCTCGTCGTTACAGCTAATCGCTATTGCGACCCTCTGAAAGCTAAATTGACTGGTTTTATGTGTCATACACAAACTATACTCTAGAATTAGCATTAAGATATATCATAGCTGACTAGCACGGTTCGGTTAAGTGCTGGCACCACTAGACAAGGACTGAGGTGGTTGACACATCTAAATCTCAATTCTAGATGCTCAAAAACTCTCACACTAGCGAACCAATCTTCCTAAAATCTTCTTTCATTTCTCACATCTACTTGCAACGCGCATTTTAATTTTTGAAGGAAATCTTCAAAGTCGTCATCAATCTTTTTCTATCTACTCAGCGTGCGCGTAGCTTAACACAGCAAAACACTAGAAAGAGTTGACCCTTCGAAAAAACCCAAGCAAGCACACATAAAATTGCTCGCAATATCCGGAGAAGGGAAACTTTTCGGGAACGATTGAGGTTTCACCTGTTCCAAGTTACGTCGATACACTTCCTGATTAACTGTTTCCGATGGATGATATTCGCCCTAATCGAGGACGCAACTTATGGATCCAATGCTGGAGTAGAACCTAGTTGCAATTATCGCACAACAAAGCTATCGAAAATAAACAAATTTTGACGTTTAAGTTTTTCCAGGCAACTTTGCCGTCATAAAACTTAACGGAATAGGATCTAGCAAAATGGCTTCAGATAAAAACAATTCAGTCTGCAAATTAACATCATAAAAGCAGCATTAAAATAGTTTGCATTTTTTAGGGATTTCATGAAAGAAAAACAGCTTTTTCACAAATAGATTATGGGAAATTAATGTTTATGCAATCGCCATGTTGTTATTATTACATTTGTTTTTTTACTATCTTCGTTTTTCAAGATGGTTTTCCTTAAAAATAACTTTATTCTCATCAATTCATCAATGAGCAGTAATAGAGATTACGAAAATTATCAAATTATCTCGACTGGGCGCAATCTATATATATAAAAATGAATTTCTGTCTGTCTGTCTTGTCTGGCCCTTATAGACTCGGAAACTACTGAACCGATTGGCGTGAAAATTTGTATACAGGGGTTTTTGGGGCCGTGAAAGGTTCTTATGATGGTTCGAGACCCCTCCCCCTTCTGTAAGGGGGGGCTCCCATATAAATGAAACAGAAATTTCTGCATAACTCGAGAACTAATCAAGCAAATGGAACCAAATTAGGCATGTGGGGGCGAGTGTGGGGGTATAAGGAGATAATCATAGGGGGTAGCCCCTTAGAGGGGGGGGGGGGCTACGTACAATATAGCATGCTTTTTTTAAATCGGCGCATAAACTCAAGCTAATATTGAATTTCTAGCAAGACCGGGCACACTCAGCTAGTGATTAATATAAAAAATAACTATATTCTGTTTCCTAAATTAAAAATAATTAGTAAAATCAACGTTTTTCGGAGGCGGGCTTATATTTCCGATCTTCCGAAGCTCATTTCACATTAGATTTAATTTGCCACCTAAAAATAGACCACAATATGAGTTTTGATTATTTTGGTAATTATTTCAATTTAATTATGAGGAAATTTATGAGGATTTTTGACCGTTTCATTTTTGAACAATGAATTTGGCAAGATCGGATGATATTTATGTATCCCTTTCAAGGGGTAAGTCACTCAGCACATTGTGCCGGAATTATATTCTACACAGCTTGGGCACATCCATCGGCAAATTTTCGGCATACCTTTGGCACAATCTCGTAGGCATTAGATTGTTGTAAATAAAATGGGAGCACTTCTGGACAACTGTCATTGCAGTTGTTCAGGACATTACGTGCTGTTTGACTCTTTGTTCAGGAATATCTTCTTATTGAATATACCAGAGGAACTCAGACCAGCAGTTCACTTATAGATCTAAATACGAAATGTAGGTTCTAGAATGGACTCAAGAGGAAGAGGCAGTTAATTAGACCTCATTAGTACCCTAAATGTAAATCACACAAAACAAACTAAAGAAGTCTACTCATCACCCTCTATAGTTGGTCTCTAACAATGCTCCCCACCGGTTCCAACTCTTTCCGGCCGAAAGGCTAGATTTCTGGTCTGCCTTTGAGGGCATTATAAAACACTAAAACACAGGACTTTTATTACCCTATGGATCACAAAACACCGAAAGTTCACACACCCGCCACTTCCCGCGTCATCCTCAATCCGATTTATCCTTGTGATTTCAAACCAAAACATTCAAGGTGTCAGAAATACCGGGTTGCCGGGATGGGTATTTTACAAACAATCGCAGCTTGCTCTATGACCGGCACAATCGGCATACTTGCGGCACACTGACACACTGATGACCCAAGATTGGTGTGCGGAGTGACCTACCCCTTGATCCCTTTTTATCTTGATTGATGCTTTATTTTTAGTGCGCTTATCAAGCGTCAAAGGCAAATGGCACGAGTATTGATGCCAAATGGCTTTTATTGTAGTTTTAATAAAGATTTCATATGTTTCTTAATGCTTTCGTCGTATAAAATTTTAGCAGCAAATCAATCTTGAAGTGTCTCGAAAATATACGCTTCAAAACCTTCTCCAGGGTGGGCCAACTAGACAGATTCTAGTCTTAATCAAGTTTTGGGGGATGTAATAAAGGCAAAGCTGTCTTGACCAGGATTTTAAGAATGTTGTTTTATAGTAGCCTTGTAGTACTGCATAAAACGTAAAATGTTACTTGGGTTAGCTAATCCAACTAAAAACTAATAAAACAATAAATATTTAATCAACCAGTAGCCAAGATTTCAGTAATCTATCTATTTACTGTGTAAAAAAAAGTCAATCAAGTTTCACGGACAATTGATTAATTCACTGTTATGGCGAAAAGCTAGGATGGAATAAACGAATAAAACACTTTCCACCTAGGTACGACCCCCATGTAAAACTGTCAAATTGCAACCAAAAGAGCACACATCTTAGGTGGTTCAAAATATCTATTTTGATTCACCCCACTCAATCGATTCCAAATCATGTCCTGATCATTCTCGCAATATTTGATTTCATTTGGTTCCGGTCTCATACTGTACTACAGGCCATTTGGTGTTTTTTATGGGAATTACAATCGGAAAAGTGATTAAAAAGTGGTCTTCGGCAAAGGTGTAGCTGAGAAGATTTCATAAGTACAGACAGCCCTATAATCATTAGGGCGACATGCTACGACGACCGGAATAAAAAGTAGTTCCCATATAAACTTCAAACTGCCAGTGCGGTAAGAGATCGCAACCAAATGAGCTCATATTTTTGGAGAATGGTCAAATGATCAAGACCTGATTTGAGATCAATTGAGTGGGGTGTAGCAAAATTGATATTTTGAACCAATTTTATGCACCATGTATGTGTTCATGTTCAAATGTGAAAATCATGGGAGAAAAAACTTACAAAGAGCTTGATACATTTCTGATTACGCTATTAACAAAAATTCGCTTACATTACTCCCAAAGGTTTTGTAAAAACAAAGGCTTCTAAGGGATTGGGAATTAAGGATTATTAGGAGTAAGAAGAACTTGAAGTAATGAAGTAATGATGTTGCTGTTTGCTGATTTTAAGCATTCCACTATCATTACTTCATTATGATGGCTAACAAGCCTTTCGGGATTTTCCTTACTAAAGAGTTGTTTAGATTTTTCTTCATTACTTTACATACTTAAATAATTGTAAGTTTAAATAGGATCCGATTCTGCACATTGTAGTTTCATTTTCATACCTGTGACCTTGACATGTTTAGCTAGAGGAAGGGAGTTAGATTATGATAAGTCTTTAGTGCGAATGACACTGATGAAGACTGCACATTGTAGTCGAAATGCGAATCTATCATGGATAACGCAATTAATTAAGTAGAATTAAATGAAAGATAACCTTTCATTTGCTGTTTAAGAAGAACTTGATTTATAGTTTTCTCTAACTTGACATCGATTTGAAGGAGAAGAAATGTCCTAGTTTATTTAACTGAGTACATATTATGAAACAAGATGCTCGCTGATCGCTGAAGATAATGAACGGAGCCAGCAGGCAGCTTAGCTTTCATTTCGATTTTATAGCAAACATTATCTACCCGTAGGCGAAACACAAGTTTCTCTGCGGTTTTAAAGCAATAAGCTCGATTGCGCCAACCTGCACATATTATCTTTAGTGAGTAATCTTTTCAGCGCTAACGGAGTTGATCCCAAGCAGGGTTACTTCGACTCACTTCGCTATTTTTTTGGAATTATGAAATCGTTAGATATTATAATGATTTTATGTCAATCTATCCAGCAGGCCACTTTTCACAAAAGTTGATAAAAGTATGTTTTTCGTAGTGTACCAA